GTGGACAGTATTTGGGTCATGGAGACACACATTGCTCTCCTGCAGCGGAACGGTGATGTTCGTCACATGGAGTTTGACGTCAACGGAGAGCTCATGAAGCTTAGTGAGCTCTTCGATGGCGACGGCTGAAATGCGGCTGTGGCTAAAAGGGAATGTCGAAGCTGGATTTTTGCGACCAGTGCGGGTCTGACTCGGCAGGTCGAGTTTGGATCAAGAAGCGAAGCCGAAGCTAGAGACCAGCAAGAAACAAGAGAGACAAGAGAGAGAAGAGACAGACTGATTGCCCAAAGTAGTTGGCGTGTCGAGCGGAGCCCATGACGTCTTGGCCTGAATGCTTGGGATGCAGTCAAGCCTGGGAGCGAATTTGAGGAACTCTGGAGTGGTGCTCTACACTTCCATGGGGGAGATTGAGGCACGGAAAGCTCAAACGCTCGTTTCTCACGCGGACCCCCTGCTACCTGTCGTGACTTGAGGTGGAGCTGTACTGGAATCACGCGCCCAAAACATGCAGGGCCCCTACCACTACCGCTGACCCCGTGAGATTCATGTCTGGCAAACTGGCAAGGTATGAATTTCTACGAGCTTGCCAAGAGAAGCTATTATGACCTGAACTCAATGCAGCCAGAAGTTGTTCAGGAATCTTATCCAAGGACAACACGCTGTTCCATCGCATTGTAACTAACTTCATCATCCAGGCTGAGCCGAGTGGCCGCTCCTTTTCCAATCCATGGGCCGATGAATTGTCCTTGTGCAGGGCGGTGACCCAACTGGGACCGGAAGAGGGGGCGAATCCATCTATGGTCCGACCTTTGAGGATGAGATTCATCCAGGCGCGGCCTTGGCACCTGGCACAATGCAGTGGCAAAGTTGGCGCAGGCCTGAAGCATGTGGGCGCTGGCATTCTGTCCATGGCGCCTGCAGCTTAGCGAGCCGACTCGAAGCTCGAGCCGAGCGCGGCGTGCGGCCACAAGGAGTTCGGGACCTGACAGCAACGGCTGGCGCCCTGAGAATCGGAGAGACCAGTCGGAGAGACCAGTCGGAGAGACCCGGAGAGGTCGGGCTCGCTGAGGATCGCAGTTTTTTATTACCTTGGGGCCTGGATCTCAGACGTACGCCGACTGCACGGCGATTTGGCGTCTCCTTCCGAGGCCACAGCCGTCCCTGGATGGGAAGCATACCATCTTTGGGCGGGTCAGTCGGGGCATGAAGGCCCGCCTCTCACGGTCTCACAAACTTCGGAGTCGCGGAGTTGCGGAGTCGCGGAGGTGGTGCAGAAGTTGGGGTCCATTGCCACCAATGCCCAGGCGGAGTCGGGGAGAGTGTCGAGTTGAGTCGAGCACTCGCACTCAGGACAAGCCCATCCAGGAGGTGCACGAGTCGAGCCGAGTCATCATGAATGTATCTCTAAGACTTCCGAGGTGAAGATCCTTCGGGCATCTACGGCGCTGGCAGCAGACGCCAATCTGGGCTTGTGAATCGGGAGGGAAAGGGCACGTCACTACTTCACTGCTGCATACGTCACTGCTCACTTTTGAGTCTGCATTCTGCACATTCGCGACGCACTCAAATTTGGCGATTGCGAGAAGGAGCAGAGCCGAAGAGACATTTCCTTTTGCAAGTTTCTACTTCTTGCCTCTCTGCTTTTCCTTTTCTGTCCTTCTCAGGCTTGCTTCCACCTGCATGTGAATTGCTTTTAGATCCATCCGTCCCTAAGTCTTCTGGCACAAGTGTTTTTCTCAAGTTCAACGTCTTTCCGTCTTTCCGTCTTTCCGCTTTTTGTTGGGTTCTTTGGTTCTTTGGTTCTTTGTTCCTTTGTTTCTTCCGAGCGGCTTCCTTCGCCATGGAGCTGCTCATGGCCGCGGGCCTCGGGGCCAAGGAAGCCGAGAGAAAGAGAGTCGGAAGTCGGAAGTCGGAAGGAGTCGGAAGGCGAGAGTCGGAGAGCGAATCGGAGAGATCGAGTGAGAGTCACTGAGAGTCACAAGGCAAAAGAAATGGCGAAAGAAGAAACTTGGGGCATTGGTCAAAGCTTGGCAAAGTCAAGCCGAAGGGGGAAATTGAAAAGGAAGCTCAGCGAGTCCGGCAACAAGGCTTTAATCATATCAAGCAACACCTTCCGATTCGCAGTTCCAAGTTCGATTCGAGATGGGTTTGGGTGTCATTTGAGATTCACTTACTTCACTTACCCTTCCCGTCGAGGAGCTCTTCACCTACAACCGAGAGAACTTCAAGTTCGATCAAGACCAAAGGATCGAACGCGAGGCACGCTCGCTTGGACTGAGTTTCATCCGTGCAGTGCGGTCGGATCGGACAGGCTCTGCGCCTGGAGATGCAGGTGAAGAGATTCGAGCTGTTTCGAGAAGCCGCGGCCCCGTGGGCCCCGCAATACGGGGCCTCCCCGTATATGGCATCTGCTGGCCTTCGGTGGCCGAAGTTTGAGAGGATGTCCGGGATTTGGTGGAGCTCACGGTGGACAGGATGGACGTGTACCACTTGGCGCGGTCCCTTCCGCTTTGTGCTCAGAATTCTCACTTCTCACTTCTCTTTTTGGCCAAGGTGGGGGCGCTGTTCCTGGAGTTTTGCATCGTGCTGTTCTGTGAAGGGCGGGTGCAGGCAGTCTGTTGGCACGGGGCGGGTGGGCACGTCCAGAGCCTCAGAGCCTCAGAGCCTCAGAGGCTCAGAGGCTCAGAGCATCTCAGAGCCCAACACGGTGAGGCATCAGCGCCTCCATTCCTACTCTCCCTATTCCTCCTCTCCAATGCCTGTGCCTTCATCTACCTGTTGCTGGCAGTTTGGCTCAGTATGCATGCCAGAGCCTTAGATCTTAGAGCGCTTGCGAAGCGCTTCCGAAGCGCCACTTTGGCTTCAGTTTGGCAATCGCACGGCTTTCAGGCCTCGATTGCATCGCACAGCTTTGGCGTGCGCTTGTGGGCCGCTCAGAGTTGGCTGAAAGCTCGCCTCTGCGCCTCCGCTAGGCTGACGAGATTTGTTCGCTTGCCGATCCCCAGCATGAAGCAGATTGCTGGGCTCAGGCGGGTGTCCCCCTTTTCCCGAGTCTCAACATTGGCATATCAATGGAGGAGCACGCTCAAGGACTACGAGCGGCAAGGAGTTGCAAATTTGCTTCGCCTGCCATTTCAGGACGGGCAATTCTGGTCTTTGTTCTTGAAGCATCATTTCTTGGTAGGATCAGCAGGAGTGGCAGCAGGCGGGTGAACTCGCTGTCCGTTCCGTCGAATTTTGCCCCTGGAGGTTCATGGGATCGAGGAATCTGACTCGCAGCCGTCCCAACCGTCCCATCCGTCCCATCCGCAGTTGCCTCAGCCTGGCGCGCAAGTTGATCTGAGACCGAGGGAGACGCGGGCGCGGCCCGAAAAGACGCCGGCGCCGGTGGCGCCGGTGGCGCCACCGCCGCCGGTGGCGCCGGCGCCAGCGCCGGTTGCTCCCATGTCTTTTGGGCCGCCTGAGCCTGAGTCAAGCCAGGGATCGGGGGATCGGGTGGAGAACTCTCAGGGGCCATGACCGATCCGAGCGATCCGAGCGATCCGAGCGATCCGACAAAGCGGGTGGCTCAGAGCTCTTTGGCACTCCGAGTCAGTTTTCTTTGCTTCTTTCCTTCTGCTTTACTATTCCTGAGGCTACGACTCTGGGGAAGTGCCAAGCTCATTCGAGTTGAGAGGAGAGAGACGAGAGAGACGAGAGAGACGAGAGAGACGAGAGAGACGAGAGAGACGAGAGAGACGAGAGAGACGAGAGAGACGAGAGAGACGAGAGAGACGAGAGAGACGAGAGAGACGAGAGAGACGAGAGAGACGAGAGAGACGAGAGACGAATGTGAGGCCACTGGACAGCCAGGCTCGTGACAAGCGTCGATCGCTGCGCCGATCGCCAGTCGTGTGCCGATTGCAACGAGCGTGACTCCTTCGAGGCGAAGCAAGGCTCAAACCAAATCAACTCAGGAGCCGAGTCAGCCGAGCCGAGAATCTCATGCCGAAAAGCAGGAAGCTTGTGTTCCAAAGTTCCAGGACAGAACTTGTTGCCCGAGCAGGACGAGACAGTCATCGGGGGCGAGGACATAAAAGCATGCTCTTTGCAACACATGCAGACTTGCAGACCAGGCAGTGCTTGTTTTCTGCTTCTGTAGGATCTGCTGTCATGTTCACGCGGAGCACAGCCAGAGCGTGCGAGCCGCAATCGGATTTGCTCCAATGTGAGGTCTCTCACTGGAATCTGCTTGAGAGCTTGTGCTCCAGGTTGCCTCGTTGGCACAGCTTCTGCATTTGGTTGCTCTGACTGCCAATCCTGAGGCCACGTGCAGCTGTTTCGACAGCTGCAGTCAGGTCCTCATGCCTCTCACACTGTCAGAGCATCGATGCGGATGCGTCGGAGCGGATTGGATTCGTTTGATGTCGGAGAGGTCGAAGTGGCAATGCTACGATGCATACTGCCGGGTATGCATGGGATTGGGCAGCTGGCCCAGCGCAGTGCAGTGCTTCCTCACCATTTCACCTTTTCACCTCCAGGCGTCAACCAGATTCTGCAAGGCTTGAGCTACTACTGCATTTGTCCATTGCCTAGTTCGGGCGACCTTTCACGCCAGTCAGCTTGAATCGCTGAGGCCATACACTGGTTGAAAACAGATCGCCCACAACGGGCTACGCGCTCGTGACGCTATTCCAGTACGCCTAGCAATACTCTCGCGTTTCTTGCAACGCAAGTCCGATAGGAGCACGACCATCGCCTTGGCAGTTCTAGACCTGGCCACCGGCTCAATGGAATCCATCAGTGCTGACGTTGCAACTATCCACACTGATCCGTGTGAAGCTGAGGCTGGGTTGAGACGCAGGGAGATCCTTGCAGTGCAGGCACATTGCACGCTTGGGAAGAGTGCGCATGACTAGCGCAAGGTGGTCGGCATCATGCCCTGCTTGCTCACAGCATGGGGTGTGGCACACGGCAATAGATCCTCAGCTCTTTAGTGGCTCCTGTTAGTTGCTTAGCTCGGCCCATTCTCGGCACACCTCAGGAATTGAAGGTGGTGTGCTGGATCCCGCTCAGACGTGACCTTGTTGGATGCAGCTCAAGCAGCTCTGCTGTGTAGTTGGCTTGTTGAAAGGTACATGCTGTCTCCCCTGAGCTTCCTGTGCCAGGCTTGGATGACCGTTGGGCAAGTCTTTACCATGCAGAACGGAGCGAAAGTTTCACTCAATGACTATGAACAGTCTAAAGGCATTTTATTGCGCGCTATGTTTGATGGAGGGTTCGTTCAGATGCGATTCATTTTGCCTAGATTTAAGGGCAAGAGTGCAGACTGTGAAATGATACACGGCAGCCAGCCGTCCATGAATGTGAGCAGGAAGGTCTTTCAAAGCCCCATGTCTTTTCTTGGTAGTGGCCCGGTTGCCCAGCAATATTCGGAACGTGGTAGCGTAGCTTTCACAAACGGACCGATTGATTTTCCCCGTCTCCCACCGCTCTCTGGGAGACAGCGACAATTCATGGCAAACACTGCTCACGGGGTGGAGGAATGCCGATTCATTTTCTTTGGCCGTCCCAATCCACCTCTGAGACTCACTTTTTTGAGGCGTTTGTGCTTTGCGGTTTCTTGAGATGCTTGCGTTTTCTTTTACCCGGAAGATCAGTGGGACCCCCTGCCAGGTTGCATCGTGTTTAGAATTGGAGCTGTACGCCCTGCTTTTACTCTGCATTGTTCAAGGGCTTTTCGCACAACATGCCAGATGAAGAAGCGTATTTTCTGTTGTCCAAGCATGTTCCGCTTGCAGAACGGCACCGGTTTTAACTTTGATCGACTTGGTGCAGGTTCTTTGGCTGGAGCTATGGTTGCGCGTCGCAGCTCCACATGGGGATGACCAAGCAAAGCCGCTTGGAACCGTTTTGGGACGGATGGAGCTTCCCTCAACTTGAGATTCTAAGGCTGCCTCGACGATTTCGCCAGGCCGGGCACAGACTGTCAGAAGTGGTGTTGCACAGTTTCTTGGTGTAGGTGCTCTTCTTAGACGTGTTCGGCGACTCTTCAGGCATTCAAAGTATTTCAAAGTGCAGCGTGTGCTGGTAGCATCCCAACGTTCAGGCTGGGATCCTCATGACAGGGACAACAACTGTGAGGTGCCGCGAGTGTGTGATCGCGCACGAGTGCGCGGCTCTCCTACTTCCGGGCAGGACGACGTCATCGAGGGGGAGATGTTCAAACAGCTCGGTGCCAATGCCAAGGAAGAGGAAAAGGATGCGGACGACGAGGAGGGGACCGAGGGACTGAGGGTCGAGCGAGATCGTGCGAGACTCAGGCCTTGATCGCCGCAGCGCAGAGGGCTTCTTCTCAACTAATGATGGCTCAGCCCGGCATCCAAGTTGCAATTCCCGCCATTGCGGCATCCCCCGCCATTGCGGCACCCCCCTTTGAGAGGGCAATGGGTGGCCCTTTCGCATGCGAGGTGTGGGGTGCGGCGCTGGAGTGCCGCCCCAAGCTGGGCGCTGTCACGGCAGCAGCACAAGGACGGGAGAACGACAAGAGAGAGGCCTTGTTGAGGCCTTGTTGAGGCCTCTTGAGAGCACTAGGAGCTGGAAGCCCTGCGAGACCAGCTCAAGTCCGGCAAGCTCAGCCAGAGCCATTCGGATCATTCGGATTGCCAGGAACTGGGGCAGCACGATTTGTACAGAGCTGGAGCGGTGCTGTCGCCTCAAGGGGCCGCGACCTTGGCTCTCACGAGTCGCATGAGTGGCATGTGTGGGCGAGGAGTCACATGTGGGAGTGTGGGCGTGTGGGAGTTTGGAGTGGGTCTCGCGAGGATCACGGAGGCTCTCCGGAACTTGGAGAAGGAGCTGCGGGCGTGGCCTGGGGCCAAAGCGCCCAGCACGTTTCGGGTTTCGGGCGAGACTTCGAAGGTCAGAGCTCTCCTTGGAGGAGCAGTCGGCGGATCCGTTCGCTGGCTGTCTGCTGGGACCTAAGCCGCGCCATAAGTTATGCCCGTGACGGGTATTGGCGGGTAGTGGGGGGGTTGGAGAGGAGGGCCGCAGGGTGGGCCCTTTCGAGCACGATGATGGCTACAAGACGGCATGCTACCACTTTGAAGCCGGCGCCTGGTGGCGTGTTGAATGATTTTGCGATTTTTGGTGCCAGATTGAGACGCAGCGCACGCTCTTCGAAGATGCTGCCAAGCAGTGTTCCGGGCTGAGTGCTTCACTCTTTCCATTTCGGCATATTTCGATTTGCAATTTTCGGCAATTTTCGAGTTCTTTTCGAGTTCTTTGCCCGCAGCTGTTTGGCTCAGCGCGCTTCAGGATCTCAGGCTCGCCGCTCGCTCGGCGTGGGCGCACGGCACCATGCCCAGCCGTCGACGCTGGGGTGTCAGCCCCAGAGAGCGTGAAACTGACCGGAGGGCAAGGCAAATGCAGGAATGATCAGGAATGCAGTCTTGTTTTCTTTTGCTAGACCATTCCTTGCTCTTTCTGTGCTTGAGTTGTTTGGTGCGTGATTGTGCCCCGACGCCCGCCCGTAGGGCTGTGCCTTTTGGCGGCGTTCGCCCCGCTGTGCTTCCTGCAGGCGGAAGGGGCCGGAAGGGGGCGGAAGGGGCCGGGAGCCGGACGGTGGATCGGTTACCGTGCGAGGTCGGGCGAAGAGAGCTGTGACTTAGCCGCAGCGGGCTCTCGGTCGTGCTCCTGCGACTTGGGCCACGCGAGCCATACCCGGTCTCGAGAAAGCTTTCAGTTCATTCAGTCCTTTTCTTCCCTGGCGCACGCGGCGTAGGTTGGCGGCGGCGGCGGCTCCGCTGCCCGCCGCGGCGCTGGAGCCCTGCAACGCGGGGAGCCTCAGCCGGAAGCCGGAGATGCCGGAGATGCCGGAGGCGGAAGGCGCATGGAAGGCATGGATGGCCGAGGCCGGGTCCAACAACTGCCACTCCACGGCGACGGCCATGAAGCCCTGGACCTGGCCAGCCGGCAAGAGCCGTGCCCAGTCTTACACTTTCGTTCACATTTCACGCCTTTCACACCTTTCAAAGATCCCTTTTTCTCCTTTTCTCCTTTTCTCCTTTTATCCTTTTATCCTTTTCTCCTGCCATTCCCTTTCCCCATAGTGCGCCTTACTGCACACGCCCCTTTTTCCACCCCTTTCGTGGATTTTCCGTCCATGTTAAAACCACCGGGCAGAAGGTAAGCAAACATGCAGCCAGGAAGAAAGGAAAAGAGCGGGTGCACGAACAAAGAGATTACCACACAAGTTGAAGCAAACAAAATTATTTGTTTTGCGTTGATTATTGTTCGTGTGTCTCACTTTAATGCGTGTGCGGTGAAGCTGGCAGTGGGAACACGTGATGCTGGCGATGCGAGCTAGCGATGCTGCTGCTTTTTTTCAAGAGGGCCCAGTTTCTTTAAAACTGGACTGTTTTACACGACATCTCACTGGATAAGAAGAGCCGTCGCGCCGTGAGAAGCAACATGCACTCACTCACAGACTCTAAACTCAAAGAGTCCACAACACTTTTCCCGCGGGGTCAGCGGAGTGTTTCTTGTTTGTTCTGTGATTGACTCACAGTCTTCCGCTCAACAGCAATCCTGGCTGCCATCTATTTGGCTCAAGCCTGGTTGATAGCCCTTTCCAATTGCGAGGAACACTTGCTGATTTGTGGTATTGGTCATATTTGGCTTACAAGTAAACCAACCACTGCCTTCGTACATATTTGGTCATCTACCGCTTTCTCAAATATTTATTCTTCGGAATCGATCCATTTGCTGGACCTACGAGGTACCTTTCCGAGGCCACTTCAGCCCCCTATTTCCAACCTCATTTGTGGGATCCGCGTGTGAATGTTCTGCGTAAATGGACCAAAATGGTCGCAGAAAAGCGAGCCAGATACATAGCAATGATCGACTTTGTACAACGATCGCAAGGCATTGAATAAAGGACTGTATGTTAGCAGAGAGAATCGCGACAAATGCAGTCCATCGAGCAGCTCATTAAAAATTCGCTTGTCGCTTGGAATGACCTTGGTTTCTTTGCATTCTGGTTACGCGATCGAGAGACCAAATTTACAAGTTTGAGGCCAACTAGTGTCATGCGTAATCTTCCAAGGGAAGCTGTCAAACAGTGAGCGCGTGGCCCCCGAATTGCAATACATGAGGCATGTGAATGCCATGACATGTGGGCTCAACCCAACCGGGCCCTTGAGTCGCGGGTACTTGGTCCGTGCCTGCGCGGATTCGCGCGCGCGCGGCGCAATCCTGCTTTGCGTGCAAGAAGCCGATGGAATCGCAAGCCCCTATGTGCAACAGGCCTTCACGGAGGCTGGCTGTACTGGTATTGCTCTTGCACAAGGAGGAGCGAAAGGGATTTCGAGTCCCAGCGCAAGCTCAACATATTCGCAAAAGAGCCGCAGCGGGAAACCCCCGTCATCTGGCAATCATTCATCTTGGGCCTACAGAGGCAGTTCCTGGAGTTCAAGGAGCGAAGGCCTTCCATATTGGCCGTATTCTTTGCCTTAGTGGAGGCAACAAAGGAAGCGCGTTGCCGCCGAGTCTTACTACAGAGATTATGGGAGAGTACGGCAGAACCTATGCACACAGATCCGATGATTCATCCCTCACAGTTGGCGTGTAGCACGTGCAACGCCGCCAGAGCCTATCAAAGGCTCAAAGCCAGCTTCACATCCGCAAGTTTCCGCACTGAACATCGTAAGTCTTCAACGCCAAGCAAGGAGATCCTTTGCTCAGCTCTCCAAAAGATCTTTTCTCGACACAAGTCCAAGCCTACTCTCACGTTCTATGGTGTCATAGGTCCAAGACCCAGATAATGTACCAGTGCCGGGCAGAGACGAAGACGATGGTTCCATTTCCGGACTACCATGTTACTTCAGGAGAACTGCAAACTGCTGAATACGAGACCCTTACTGGGAAGCGATGATTCAGACTAGCATCATTGCTAGTAAACATTGACGTTGCGTCCGAGAGACAGAGTGACTCCGAGGAAGCCATCCTGCGAAAACGGCAACATGACAAAGAACGTGGCTATTCCAGCTTCTGGTTCAATTGGTCTGCCGAAAATCAACCGTTGCCATCACAATGGCAAGACGCACAGTTTTCCAGCGCGCGCTTGTTCAATGATTCGAATGTTCATTTCCATGGCGTTTCAGTTTCTGAATGCATTTCTTGTTCGCTTCGGACATCCTGAAATTCCCGCCATGGTTCTATGAACTGTACATCTCTTTCAAGTTTCAAGTCGTGTCCATCACAGCATCGCCAACAGAAAATGTCTGTATAAAATTTAGCGCTTTCCAGCTGCGAGGAAACAAGTGCTTCATTCACACTTGCTGATTTGTGGTATTGATCATATCTGGTTTGCAAGTAAACCAATCACTGCCTTCTTACATATTTGGTCACTTACCCCTTCCTTACATATGTACTCTTCATCGGAATAGATCCATTTACTGGGCCTACGAGGTACATAGACGGGGACCATGTGGGCACCCGTTTTCCAACCTTGTTCTATTCTGCGAACTCTCGGTCTCTTCACTCCAGTGATCCAATCGCCTCAGGCCAAAGGGCCTCGGCGGATCATTGATGCAGACAACACTTGTGGAAATGCGCCCAGCGCAGCCTGCCACATGCGAAGCCCGTCGCAAAGCCCATCGCGTGCGCACCAACCCACGCACACACACACACACCAAAAGCTGAGCGGCGCGCCTGCGCGTGTCCCCGATCCCTGCCTAGCGGGTGGCTGGGCTAGCTCTGGCAAACGAGACAGCTAGGCGAGCATCGCTCCGCCACGCATCCGTTCAACTCCTGCTTCCAACATCGCTCAGAGCTGTGTGATGAAAAAAAAGAGGCTCCCGAAACGGATCCTGTAGGTTTAACGGACGAAAAAACGGCTCCGCATAGTGAAGATGATTAAGGGTTTTGGATTAAGGAAGCGGCCCCCCGCAACTCCCCTGCATGTTTAGAAGCAGACAAGTATCACTCAAAATCAATGAACTTTTTGGACATATTTTTAGATTGAAGAAGAAGCTTTGCGTCTCTCCAGCTTGTAATCCGGCGCACAAGCGCGCTCGCGCTGTGCGCTGTCCATCCAGTCCCGGCATGTCGTACATGCGCCCGCCAGCTCTACAGAGCGTTACTCCGCCCCGGATAAGATCTACCAAGGTTCTTAAAAGCCAGGCTTTGCATAGCCACCCGTAGACCTGCAAAACAGCCCTTCCACGGCAGGAATGCCTTTCTGGTCAGATGCGGCGCTCACTCCGAGCCGAAAACCTCACCCCCCACTTCTTTGAGCAATTCAATCAAAAACCCAAGCATCAGAGATGCTTTTAAAATTTGACAAAGCATGGCCGAGTTCTGAACTTCAACTGCGCTGTTTTTCGGCCCCCCCGCCCCAAACACAAGCGCAACTAGTTCGCAGGATCGACTTCGCCCTGCGCTGGTGTGCTTCACATGTCCGCATCGCCGGCATCACCTGCTCACATTGCCCGTGTAAAGCAGCCCAGTTTTCAGCTTGGCTGTTTTGCGGGGCTCCGAAAACAGCCCAGTGTTGGAACGCTGGTGCTTGGTCTGACGGCGATGGGCTTTGCGGTTTTGCAGGAAGCAAGCCATGTTTTTCCAAAGCAGCCGAGTTCTGGTTCAACTGGTTGTTGTGTCTTTCGCCTTAAGCTGCTGACATGTGTCTGGGGATTGGCATGCCTTGGAGTGTGTGTTGGGCAGTGGTGTGTAGAATTGTGCCTTTTCTGTGATCGTCGCGACAAGCCAACAAAAAACGTGCAACCTGCCGACTCCCCAACAACCTTGCCACTAAGTCGACCTTTGACGCTCGCGGCTGGCCGAAAAGCTCGCGCCGCGAGAAACAACCTGCGCTCAAACGGACGCTCTAAACTCAACAACTCTAACAAACGTTCTCAGTGGAAGGGTAGGGGCCGGGGGGGGGGGGAGGCTCAAGTACGAACTAGTAAGTACTAGTTTTACGCTGTTTATACATGGTTTTTTGCATTTCTTTCACATATTTGTTTCTATGTATGTTTTTCCCCGGTCTGATGATTTTCTTCACGTGTTCGCGACGTTGTTGTTGCCCTCTTCCCTTTGTGGTTCATTCTTGCTTTTTCAACTCCCTTCCATTCTTTTGAGCTCCGTGTCCGAACTGTTTTCTGCGTGTTCCGAGCCAGTTGAATTTCCCTGTTGCTTAGGTGGCGACGCCATCCAGGAGCTTAGGACTGGCGGATGTCACGGAAGCGGAAGTCGCAGATGGAGTCACGCTACCGCTCGATTCAGGACTGTGATCGAAGCATATCCCAAGGCAAACGGGAAGAGAGAAAAGATCGGAAGAGGAGGGAAGAGGGAAGAATTCGGCAAGGGGGGAAGGACTCGGAAGGCGTCACCAGCAAGTTGAGAAATTGGTAGGCAGGCCAAGATGGCGTAGATCTTGGCGGGTGGTCCTTCGCTGTGGATGAGCTTTCCAACAAAGGCGCGGGGCGCGGGGCGCCGGGTGCGGAAGATCGAGCCGGGCTTGCCTCAGGCTATGCGCGCCTGGAGTTCCTCTCAGGCGGATGGCTGATGGGGGCTGATGGGGTTTCCAGGGAGTGCGTGTGCCGTGCCGGTGCATCGGATGGTGCCAGTGGCAAGTTATCCGATGCGGCTATTGTCGCGTGAGCTTCTGCAAGCGCGCAAGCGACGTCCCAGCCCAACGGGAGCAGTCAGGAGTTCCGCCAGCGAACGCACTTGAAACGGATGTTCGCATCGGGCTCTGGAAATTCGTGTGCCAAAAGCCATTGTCTACGAAAACGCGTCCCAGAATCCCGACAATGAAATGCCAGGCTCGCGAACCCGCGCTCGTTGAAAGGTGTTTGGCTGCTCACTCCGAAGGCTGGCCAAACGGATGCGCCCAAAGGCACTCCAAACGGCAACCCGACGCGGAAGGCAAGATGTGAAGTCGCAACGGGCCGAAGGGCCGAAAGGCCTCGGACACGAAGCTTGGCGTTAGGCCGTTAGGCCAATTGCTGAAAGCATTGCTCCCGGTCCACTTCCTTGCGTTCGACGCGGGTTGCCTGAGTCTTCAATTCCATGCCAACAGAAGTCCGCAGTTCTGTGTGTGTGTGTGTCATTCTTTATGTGTAGCAATCTGAGGGTAGCACACTTTTGCTTTCAAACGTGGCATTCCACGCCCCTGCTCAGGTATTTGTAAAATATTTGGCCCTATTCCCACTGTGACATCCTAACTGGGGCTTGGAACGGGGTCGCACGGATCACCAGTTCACTCTGTCAAGCGCACGCCAAAGAGAAGGATGGCAGCGAGTTTGGCAAGGCATTGGCAACTTCGCAAAATTCTTCAACGGTGGCAAGCCCTTCGTTGATGAAGCTTGACTGAATCAGGTCATTGACAGCATCAATCAATCAGCCCATTGAGCAACCTAAGGATTTTGAGGTCAGCGTGGGATCGGACAAGGTCGATGTGCGCAGCGCGTCCAGACTTGGGGACAGCGATTTTGGAGTAAATGCCAAGCGCAACCTGGCATGGTCTGTGTGTACCTCGTGCACTGTGTGTACATTGTTTTTTGCTTTTCATCCGAAGTTGCACAGCGTTACAGATTGCTTCCTTTCAGTTCACCCCTGTGACCCACCAAAAGGGTGTCTCCCTCTTTTGACCCCCAGTTTGGTTTCGGGACAGTATCACCTCAGGCATCAACTACATCGCCTCTGGTTTGCGCGCAAAGGGCTGGGATGCCTCTGGAGTGTAGACGGGATCTTTGAGCGCGCGATTTTCGCGAGAGAAAAGGAATTTGGATTTTCCGGATTTTCCGGATGCGAATTTTAGGTTTCGTCTCGAGTCTCGAGTCTTGAGGTCCAGGTGCTCTGGTCCTTTCACTGCAGGCAGTGGCCGCGCTGATCAAGGACCCATTTTCGGACCGAAAATCTTGCGAGAGAGCCGAGAAAGCTGGGGTGGCCGGGATGGCCGGGATCGAAAGCGTGAGGACTTGGAAGAAGCCGCCCGCACATTGCTGGAGCTGCGCAGCACACTCAGATGTCTAGCCGAGTCTAGCCGGTGCTGTTTGGATGCAATGACCTTCAACCTGTTGAAATACTCAGTGAACGGCTTTCGCACGATTAGGCGAAGGCTCTTCTGAGTTTGTCGTTGGCTGCGCGCATTTCTTGCTTGCTCGTTGATTAATGGTTCACCGTGGGCCAGAGTGTTTTTTGCGCTTGTGCATGTTTGTGTGTTTGCATTTGTGTGTGGGATAGTTGTCCTCGGGGAGGAAGTGACCAAGTGCCGGCAAACTTCAATTGGGGAGCAAGCTTGTATGCATTGCCACGCATTGCGTGCTCGTTGCCCAAGAGCCACGTCGGGGCAGATGGAGAAAATGGCGGATGTAAGCATCACGCGCTACCCGAGCAAGGTGATACACCCGTCCAAAGGAAAGCTGCAGCGCACACTCAATACCAAGCACAACTCTCCATCCATGCTAGGCTATTACGTGTTGAGTTTCTCAGTCAGGCGCCATAGGTGACAGCAGCTTTCGCCCTGATTTCGGCGGCATAATGATTACTTCTGCATCGTGATCCACACTACAACAACATGATGGGTTGCGGGGGGGGGGGGGGAAGAGGGAAGCTCATACCCCTATGTGTCGTTCAGGCTGGTTCCAGCTTTGAGTCAATTGTTGAATTGAAATTCTAATTGTTGCATATTTGGAGCTGAATTCCCGTAATTGCAATAATTATGGGAACCATTAGAATTCGACTCCAATAATTGCAATTATTGCAATTTTCTCAGGTCCCGGATTATGCAATTATTGCAATTATTGGAATTCAATTCCAATAATTGCAATAATTGCAATATGTTCAGGTCCCGGATTTTGCAATTATTGCAATTATTGGAATTAAATTTCAATAATTGCAATAATTGCAATATGTTCAGGTCCCGGATTTTGCAATTATTGCAATTATTGGAATTGAATTCCAATAATTGCAATATTTGTAATATTTTCAGGTCCCGGACTTTGCAATTATTGCAATTACTGGAATTGAATTCCAATAGTTGGGAATTAGTCGGCCCGGCTTGGAGGCCAAATCTGGGATCAATTAAATATTGCAATTATTGCAATTAAAATTCAATTCCAATAGTTGCAATAATTGCAATATGTTCAGGTCCCGGATTTTGCAATTATTGCAATTATTGGAATTGAATTCCAATAATTGCAATATTTGTAATATGTTCAGGTCCCGGACTTTGCAATTATTGCAATTACTCGAATTGAATTCCAATAATTGGGAATTAGTCGGCCCGGCTTGGAGGCCAAATCTGGGATCAAATAAATATTGCAATTATTGCAATTATTGCAATTATTGGAATTCAATTCCAATAATTGCAATAATTGCAATATTCGGAGGTCCCGGATTTTGCAATTATTGCAAATATTGGAATTCAATTCCAATAATTGCAATAATTGCAATAATTGCAATAATTTTACGTCCCGGATTTTGCAATTATTGCAATTATTGGAATTGAATTCCAATAATTGCAATAATTGCAATAATTGGAGGTCCCGGATTTTGCAATTATTTCAATTAGTAGAATTGAATTCCTATAATTGCAAGAATTGCAATATTCGGAGGTCCCGGATTTTGCAATTATTGCAATTATTGGAATTCAATTCCAATATTTACAATAATTGCAATATTTTCATGTCCCGGATTTTGCAATTATTGGAATTAGTCGGCCCGGCTTTGAGGCCAAATCTGGGATCAATTAATTATTGCAATTATTGCAATTATTGCAATTATTGCAATTATTGCAATTATTGGAGTTAAATTTCAATAATTGCAATAATTGCAATATTCGGAGGTCCCGGATTTTGCAATTATTGCAATTATTGGAATTCAATTCCAATAATTGCAATAATTGCAATATTTTCAGGTCCCGGATGTTGCAATTATTGCAATTATTGGAATTGAATTCCAATAATTGCAATACTTGCAATAAGCTTTGGTCCCGGATTTTGCAATTATTGCAATTATTGGAATTGAATTCCAATAATTGCAATAATTGCAATTATTTCATGTCCCGGATTTTGCAATTATTGCCATTATTGGAATTGAATTCCAATAATTGCAATAATTGCAATACTCGGAGGTCCCGGATTTTGCAATTATTGCAATTGTTGGAATTGAATTCCAATAATTGCAATAATTGCAATAATTTTAGGTCCCGGATTTTGCAATTATTGCAATTATTGGAATTCAATTCCAATAATTGCAATAATTGCAATAATTGGAGGTCCCGGATTTTGCAATTATTGCAATTATTGCAATAATTGCAATATGTTCAGGTCCCGGATTTTGCAATTCTTGCAATTATTGGAATTGAATTTGAATACCTTGCAATCCTTGCAATAATTGCAATAATTAATTGATCCCAGATTTGGTCTCAAAGCCGGGACAACTAATTCCAATAATTGCAACAATTGCAAAATCCGGGACCTACAATTATTGCAATTATTGCTATTGTTGGAATTGAATTCCAATAATTGCAATAATTGCAAAATCCGGGACCTGAAAATATTACAAATATTGCAAAATCCGGGACCTGAAAATATTGCAATTATTGCAATTATTGGAATTGAATTCCAATAATTGCAATAATTGCAAAATCCGGGACCTGAAATTATTGCAATTATTGCAATCATTGGAATTGAATTCCAACAATTGCAATATTTGCAAAATCCGGGACCTGAACATATTGCAATTATTGCAATTATTGGAATTGAATTCCAATAATTGCAATAATTGCAATAATTGCAATAATTAATTGATCCCAGATTTGGCCTCAAAGCTGGGCCAACCAATTCCAATAATTGCAATAATTGCAAAATCCGGGACCTCCGAATATTGCAATTATTGCAATTATTGTAATTCAATTCCAATAATTGCAACAATTGCAATAATTGCAATAATTCATTGAGCCCAGATTTGGCCTCAAAGCCGGGCCGACAAATTCCAATAATTGCAAAATCCGGGACCTCCGAATATTGCAATTATTGCAATTATTGGAATTGAATTCCAATAGTTGCAATAATTGCAAATTCCGGGACCTGAAAATATTGCAGTTATTGCAAATTTTGGAATTGAATTCCAATAATTGCAATAATTGCAATAATTAATTGATCCCAGATTTGGCCTCAAAGCCGGGCTGACTAATTCCAATAATTGCAAAACCCGGGACCTCCAAACTATTCGAATTCAATTCCAATAATTGCAATAATTGCAAAATCCGGGACCTGAACATATTGCAATTATTGCATTTATTAGAATTTAATTCCAATAATTGCAATAATTGCAAAATCCGGGACCTCCGAATATTGCAATTATTGCAGTTCTTGGAATTGAATTGCAATAATTGCAATAGTTGCAAAATCGGGGGCCCGCACATACTGCACTTATTGCAATCATTGGAATTCATTTGGGAAGAATTTGAAAATTAGAAAAAGCAAAACACGTATAAGACGTATAATAGTTAGGAAACAAGGATCTTGAATTTCTCAAGAAGTACCAGATCCTTTAAGAATAGAATAATTTGAGTAGTTAGAACAATTGGAACACACACACATGACTCTGGAATTGGAATTCCTCAAAAGGCGCGCGTCACCCGTCCCTTTGTGAATACATAGAAGGAAGAACATAATTGGGATCATGGGAGCAACCATTAATCTGAAATTCCCCAGATAGGACCCGTGCCGTTGGGAATACTTAGCACAGCCATAAAAATCAGAACAGAAGAGCCTGGAAATCCACAAAAACAAGTTACAAGAAGCATGAATATGGTGTCCCCAAAAGGCACCCTTTCTTTAAGAAGAAATCAATAAATTCGAATAAACTGGGGAAGCAGAATGATTAGCGCAACATGAATCTGGACTTCCCCAAATGGCACCCGGCCAATTGAAAGTATCCAGAACCATTAGAATTGTTCGAGTTGTTAGAATGATTCGAACAACTTTTCCCCAAAAAGGTACCCCTCTTTGGAGCAAATTAGAGAATGATTATTATTGTAAAAAATAGAATATCTAGAGCAAATTTGAATCTGGAATTCCACAAAAGGCAACCGTCCCTTTGGGAAGAAGACGAAGGATGATTAGAAAACACATGATTCTGGAATTCGCCAAACTGCTCCCGTTGCTTGGTGAAAGACTGGCCTGGGATTCCCCAAAAAGCACCCGTCCCTTTGGGAGTGCTCCGAATACTTACGGCAATTAAAAGGCATATAATGATTAGAACACACATGAACCTGCAAGTCCCCAAAAGGCACCCGTCCCTTTGGGAATAATGAGAATAATTAACAAGACGAGTTAGGAATAAGTAGAATAATTTGCACAACACAATCTTCAATCCCCCAAAGGCACCCGTCCCTTTGGGAATAACAATTTTATTTAGAAGACTGATGACACGTAGACTAATTAGCGGCAAACACATCTCTTGAATTCCCCAAAAGACACCTGTCCCTTTGGGAGTGGTTCGAATACTTAGAGCAATGAAAAGACATAGAATGATGAGAACAAGCATGAATCTGGAAGTCCCCAAGAGGCACCCGTTGGGAGTAATGAGAAGAATTAATTAGAAGAGTTATAATAAGTGTACTAATTGGCAAAATCAATCTTCAATTCCCCAAACGCACCCGTCCCTTTGAGACGAGCATGTGTATTTAGAGGACGGATTGCAAGTAGCATACTTAGCACACAGGACTTTTGAATTCCCCAAACGGCCCGTCCCTTTGGAGGTGGACCGAATACTTAGAGCAATTATAAGACACACAATGATTTGCGCAAACATAAATTTGGAATTCCCCCAACAGTCACCCGTCCCTTTGAAAATAATAAGAACATAATTAGAAGAGGTATGCTAAGTAGAACAATTTGCACAAAAGCAATCTTCAATTCCCCAAGGGCACCCGTCCCTTTCGAATACTTAGAGCAAGTCTAAGAAATACAATGAATGGAACAAACCATATTTGGACTTCCCGAAAAGTCACCCGTCCCTTTGGGAAGAATGGTAGGAATGAATTAGAAGAGTTATGATAAGCAGCAAACATGAGTATTGAATTCCCCAAAGTCATCCCTTTGGAACTCATGAGAAA